AAATAAAAAAGATATGTTCTATAAAACTTGGACTTAGCCAAAAGGCTTCACTTGAGGACCTAGAGGGCCACATGTGGCCTTGAGGCCCCAGGTTCCCCATCTCTGATTTAGGCAGCTACTGACTCAATTATAAAATCAATACAGCAGGTTTCACACTCCTGGAATATATCTTTTTTTCAGCAGTACATGGCATCTACACAAAAACTGACCATGTATCAGGGTATAAAAATGTCACGACCAAATGCAGAAAAGCAGAAATATTAAATACATCCTTTTCAGATCATAATGCAATAAAAATTACATTCAATAAAGTGCAGTGGGAGGACAGATTAAAAATTAATTTGAAACTAAATAATCTAATCCTAAAGAATAAATGGGTCTAAAAACAAATCATAGAAACAACCAATAATTTTATTAAAGAGAATGACAACAATGAGATGACATACCAAAATGTATGGGATGCAGCCAAAGTAGTACTTAGGGGGAAATTTATATCTCCAGATGCTTATATCAATAAAATAGAGAAAGAGCAGATCAATGCAACTAAAAAAACTAGAAAAAGAACAAATTAAAAATCCCCAACTAAACACTACTATTCAGTATTGTACTGGATATGCTAGCCATAGCAATAAGAGACAAAATTGAAGGAATTGGAATAAACAATGAGGAAACAAAACGATCATCTTTGCAGATGATATGATGACATACTTAAAGAATCCTAGAGAATCAACTAAAAAACTACTTGAAATAATTAATAACTGTAGCAACATTGCAGGATATAAAATAAGCCCACACAAATCATAAGCATTTCCTTATATGATCAACAAAGTCCAGCAGCAAGAGATAGAAGGAGAAATTCCATTTAAAACAACTGTAGACAATATAAAATAGAACACTATAAAATAGTTGGGAGTCTACCTGCCAAGACAAACCTAGGAAAATATAAACACTATTACAAAATACTTCTCACGCAAATAAAGTCAGATCTAAACATTCAGAAAAAATGTCAATTCTTCATGGGCACATGAGCCATGCACAATAAAAAATGACAATTTTACCTAAATTAACCTACTTATTCAGTGCCATACCAATCAAGCTGCCAAAAATTATTTTATAGAGCTGGAAAAAATAATAACAAAATTCATCTGGAAGAACAAATGGCCAAGAATATCAAAGGCATCAATGAAAAAAAATGTGAAGGAAGGTGGTTTAGCCATACCATATTTCAAACTGTATTATAAAGTGGTAATCATTGAAACAACATGGTACTAGCTAAGAAATAGGTGGATCAGTGGAATAGATCAGGTACACTATATATTGTAGTAAATGACCATAGCAATTTAGTGTTTGATAAACTCAAAGATGCAAGGTTTTGGAAAAAACTCATTATTTCACAAAAATTGCTAAGAAAACTGGAAAATAGTATGGCAGAAACTATACAGAAATCAACATCTTACATTGTACACCAAGATGAGGTCAAAATGGGTACCTGCTTTAGACATAAGGGGTCATACTATAAGCAAATTAGGAGAGTATGGAATAGTTAAGTTGTCAAATATATGGATAAAGGGAAAAATTAGGACCAAACGAGAGATATTGAGCATTATGAAATATAAAATGGATAATTTTGATTACATAAAATTGATAAAGGACTCTTTTCTCAAACATATACCGAATTGAGTTAAATTTATAAATATACAAGTCATTTCCCAATTGATAAATGATTAAATGAAATGAACAGGAAGTTTTCAGATGAAGAAATCAAAGCTATCTATAGTCATATGAAAAAATGCTCTAAATAACTATTGATTAGAGAAATGAAAATTAAAACAACTCTGAGATATCACCTCACACCTATCAGATTGGCTAATATGACAAAAAAAGGAAAATGACAAATGTTAGAGAGTATGTGGGAAAATTGGGACACTAATAGAATGCTGGTGGAGTTGTGAACTGATCCAGCCACTCTGGAGACAAATTTAGAACTACAACCAAAGGGCTATCAAACTGTGTATACACTTTAATCCAGCAGTAACACTACTAGGTCTGTATCCCAAAGAGATTTTTTTAAAAGGGAAAATAAGCTCTTTATATAAAAATATTTATAGCAGCTCTTTTTGTGGTGGCAAAGAACTGGAAAATGAGGGGATACCCAGTAATTGAGGAATGGTTGAACAGGCTGTGGTATATGATTATAAAGGAATAATATTGTACTATACAAAATGACAAGCAGGAGAATTTGAGAAAAACGTGGACTTACATGAACTGATACAGAGTGAAGTGAGTAGAACCAAGAGAACATTGTACATGGTAATAACAGTATTGTCTGATGAACAACTGTGAATGACTTAGTTATTCTGAATAGTACAATGATCCAAGACAATCCCAAAGGACTCATGAGGAAAAATGCTATTCACATCCAGAGAAAGAACTGATGGCAACTGAATACAGACCAAAACATCCTATTTCTGTCTTTGTCTTTTTCTCTGTCTTTTTTTGTTCGAGTTTTCTTCTACAAAATGACTAATATGGAAATGGTTTACGTGACTGCATATTGTATAATCTATAAGAGATTGCTAACTGCTTCAGAGAAGGGGGAGGGGAAAGAAAGGGATAGAATTTAGAACTCAAAATTTTAAAAAATGAATGTTAAAAATTATTTTTACATGTGATTGGGGAAAATAAAACATTAAAAAAATTTTAAGGAAAAAATAGAAGAGCTGACACTTAAAAAATATTTGCTATGTGTGCATACTTAGATATAATACTCTGGCAATGACTGATGTTACCATAGATGATCATATTGTTCTTTACATTGCTATAACTGACTACATTTTGTAAGGAATAAATATACTTGTTCCTGGTACTGGTAGTGATCTGAACTAGCATAGGACCACATTGCTATCTTATTACAGAATCTAAAATTGGGAGACAGGAGAAGATTGCAAATGTTACTCTAAGGATTTTTTAAAATGACCCTTTCTTTAACAACTTGTTGCTTCTCAGTATTCTGATTGCTCATACCTAGCAATTAACCAGTCTCCCCCATCAGAATGAGAGTTTTGAAGGAAGGGACAATATTTTTGCCTTTCCTTGTATCTCCCACATTTAGCACAGTGTTTGAAAACTAGTAAGCACTTAATAAATATTTGTTGACTGACCAAGAACTGTAAATAAAGGTAGATAGTTATATATTAGGAAATTTTTTTCAAAGTTGTACATGAATGTCGTGGAATATTTCATTCCATCTTAAAAAACTCTATGAGGGATGCAGAGAATCATGGGAAGACATGAATTGATGCAAAGTGAAGTAAGCAGAACCAGGAATATAACATACACAATTACTATAACAACATAAGTAGAAGAAATAACAAAACTATAGAAAGTGAATGCTATGAAATTTTAACAACTAAACTTGGCCCCAAATATGAGATATGAGAAGGCAACTCCCTATGGTCACGGACCACTATAGATAATGTTTCAACATACTGATTTGTTTTGCTGAGCAGCCTTCACTCCATCCCCCATGATTTTATTCTGTTACAGAGGCTAGCTTTCTGGGATCGGGGTAAGGCAAAAGGGATACATTGGGAAATGAAGGTGAGGTAAAGCAAAAGCTAGCAACAAAGTATATTTTTTTTTAAAAAGAAAGAAAATTACTCCTTTACCTTCTCTGAGCACTTTCCTATTGGGGAATATCCTTTATTGTCATATAGCTAATCAGAACTCAAGAGGCCAACTAGTACGGTTCCCTAAATTTACAAGTTAAAAAGTCATGGGGACGTTATGTGATTTACCAAAGGTGAGGGTAGGAAGTGGTGGAGCTGAGATACATGCCCGGATATGCAGGTCCTCCTGACGCCGTAGTCAATGCTCTTCCCACTCTACCATGCTGCCTCCAGGTGTATCACTTCCCAACGTAGCTTAGACATCCTACCTTTATCAGAGATTTACTCCAATGCTTTATTTCCGGTTGACTGATTCCCTTCTAATCATAGTTACATCAATTTTGTCAATGCAAAAGCTTTTCATTAAAAAAAAAAGTTACTTTTCTGAGTTTATAACATGATATCTGCTAAACTGCTTTCTAGTTTTCCCAGCATTTTTTTTTTTTTGGTCAAAATGGAGTCATTTTTCCTAGGAATGGATATCCTTGGGTTTGGGTTATGCAAAAATAACTCTCAACTGTGGCCCCAAGAAGCTGCCTGTGAGTTAGGGGGCGTCTACCCCAAGCATGTGAAGCCTCCCCCGCGGAGCCGGCGGATGAGAACAGTCCGCTCCAACGGCCAGAGGGCGGCTGCAGCAGGCGCTGAGAGGGCTTGGAGCTCGGTCAGGCAGGGAACACGCCAAGGTCATCCACTGCATGCCGGCCATCGCCAGTCTTTGCGCGTGGATGACTGGAGGGGAGTGAGGCTGACGACTGTGGGCAGCTTTGCCTCGCTTAAACCCCATTCATGCGACTCTGGGCATCACTTTGGACGTCCTTGGTCCTTCTCTGGAAAAACAACAACAATGAATGGGCCGGTGCAGAGATAGCTGCTGGACTACGATTCCCAGAAGGCTGCGGGCTGCGATGGGTTCATGGGACGAGACTAAGGTTTCCCAGAATCCACCCCGGCGTAGACAGGAAGCCGCCGGGCGCGGGCAGAGCCTTTGGATTTCCGATGGATTCTGGGAATTAGAGTTCGTTCCTGAATATGCGCAGGCGCAGTTCCCGGATTACAGGGATTAGTGACTGTCCTTTTGTTTTGTTTTTGTTGTTTTTTTTTTTTTTTTGCCGCGGGTGAGTGATTGTGAGTGAGTGTGTGAGCGTGACCGTAGGTGTGCAAGCGAGCCCGTGTCGGCCCGCCCCTCCTCCCTCTCCTTTGGACCGACCCCGGCTGGGCCCCCCTCCGGGGTGGATATGGGGGAGGGGCTGGGGGCGGGGACCGCGCAGGATGTGGGGGCGGGGCAGTGCGGGACTGAATCGGGGCTAGGGCTGTCTGAGGTGGGGGTGGGGGCCGCACTGGGTCCCGCAGCGGGACCTCCCACCCGGGAAGGGATGGGGGAGGCGAGCCGGGCTCCGGCCGCCACATGCGTCGCAGGTGAGTCTCCCGGGTCGCACGTGTGACAGGTGCTGGGGTCGGAACGAGAGCCCAGGAGCCGGGACTCCTCCCTCGGGGTCAGGACCAGCCGGGTCCGAGGCTCGGGTGCCCCGAACCTCATTCTCCACCAAGACCTCTGACCTCCCTGGTTGTTCTGAGGAGATCGTGTGTGTGAAGGCTTTAGTGACTGTGTGTCAGCGAGGGTCCTGCAGACCTTGCCTTTGGCCAGGGGTCCCAGCCCCGTTTTGTGTCCTGGATCCCTTGGGCAGTCTGATGACCCTTTTGAGAATCATGTTTTTAAAAATACATCAAACAAAAATACATCGGAAACCAATTGCATTTTAGTAGACATTTTTTCCATCCAAAGTGCTAGACCCCCTGAAATCGATCTCTAGACCCTTTGGGGGCGGATCCATGGACCCCAGATTAAGAACCCTTGATTTAGTGCCTTCCTGATAGGGTGTACCGGCTCCCAAGAAACCATTTTTAAATTTTCAGGAATTCTGTGAACCCGTGTGAAACACCACCGATTCTGAATTGAGTCAGCTCCTAACAAGTGGTGTTATTTGCTACTTTAAAAGAATTGGTGACAAGCACAGCGTAGTGTACTTTCAGTACGTTATTGTCTATTTTAAATGATTGTGGATTTAATAATGAAAGTGAACCTAATTCCATTTTGTTCTGATGGTGCTAAACAAGACTGGGTAGAAAGTCTAGAATAGCAAAAAAGTTATTAAAATGATTTTTAGGCTCTGTTTAAATCGAGTTCAATTATGACTTGACAATTATTATCTGACCTAAGACAAGTTAATCATTTAAAATATCTCTGGATACAATTTATTCTATCACCAATCTAAGAAAAAATAAACTGAGTTAGAAACAGTAGCTAAAGAACTTGGCATTGAAATAATTAAAATTGATCCAGTACTGAGATGTAGATGGGTGGCATGTAGTTTATGAGCATCTACTGCTCTGTGTCACACATCCTGCATTATATATGTATTTTTTTCCTTATTCTAGTTTGGCGAAGATGTTAGCTAACATTAATTTCTTTCAAGACTTCCTTTAATGACTGACAATCTTAAAGAATTTTCATTATTTTCAACTGCATTTCAATCAAGATCAACTAACATTCAACAAGAGCAAAAATTAATCAAACATATAAGAGCTTTGGAAAATTTAAATGCTTTTTTTTACTTGAAAGCATGAATCTCACATTGAAATCTGTCAGGTAAATTTAGAGATATTCAATTTAATAAAATTAATAAATTTAATGCTTTTCCTAGGAATATTTTATTAGGAAAAAATGTCATTCAACAAATAAACTTACATCTTTTATTGGGACAGAAAGGATGAAAGCATTTTTAATTATCTTGATTTATTTGAACCATCTACTTGGTCTTATGAAGAACTTACTTCAGATAACTAGTGAAAAAATGTATCATTGAAGTGAAATTTTAAAACATGAAATTGATTTAAACAATTTTCAGTGTCTTGTAGGTAATGTAGAAAGAAACAATGTTCAAATCCCTGCCACTATACAGAAAACTAATAAGATAGCACTATTGCGGTCATTAGTGCTAAAGAAGAAGGAAATTTCAGTTTAATGAATATAATTTGTTGGAGGGTGGAAAATTAACAGATCACATATCAGATATAATGACAAGTTTACTGGAAAAAGGATTAGTGGATTAGTGTTAAACTACATTTGTCAAATCGTGTTTGCAACCATCGGTTAGCTATTGTTACAAGAATTGGCAGAAATCAATGAAAACATTTCATGAGAAACACATGACTATATGGAATTTATAATAAAGAGTATTGTATATTTTATCATTGTAAATTGTGTGACATCCTTTATATCAGAAAAATTTATAATAAATTTATTCATGTAAATATGTAAATAGATATATTTTTTTCAGAGGACTGTTTGTTGAACATTTACAAACACAGCTCTGCTTTTCACCCTCATCATCATGGCCCAGTGAAAAGAATATTTGGATTAAGAAGACCTGATTTGAATCCTGGTTCTGCTACTTAACTGTCTTCTTCATGTATTAATTGACATAACATTTTTCAAGTACCTACTATGTGACAGATGCTAGAGAAACACAGATAAAAACGATACAGTCCCTACCTTAAGGGGTCTTACTTTCACTGAGAGAGCATTTACATATGTCATGGGTGACATGTTATATGCATAAACAAACACAAATATATTTAAGAAATACCAGGTAATTTTTTATTGTGGGCATGAGCAGCTAGGAGATATCAGTAAAGACTACATGTAGATGGGCAAAGATGAGACCAGAATATTGTGGTTTATCCTTCGTTCTGGAAGATGACCATGACATCAGGGAAATGATGACATAACTTGCAATTGACTTTGATTTGAGTGAGGGAAGGCCCTGCAAAGTCACCAGCCTCACTTTATCCTCCAGAGTCATGTGGGTCCAGTGGTCAGGTATCAGGATGACTGGAGATGGCCCAGGGTCAGTGGGAGACCTTGGCCTTTTTAAGCTAAAAATACATCCCAGGTGTGGATGACATAGAGACAAGAGATTAATATGGGTGAGGAGCAAGGCCAGTCTGGCTGGACCATAGAGTACGGAAAAAGGAGTTTGGGGTAGCATTGGTTGGAAGGGTAGTTTGAGGTCAGGTTGAAGAGTATTTTAGAAGTCAAACATAGGAGTTTATGGTTGATCCCATAGTTGATAGGGAAGCTTTGGAGTTCATTGAGGAGGGATGCAACCTGGTCAGACCTAGGCTTTATGAAAAGATCATTTAAGCTTTCTGGTTATATCCTCTAAAATAAGGGGATTGACTGGGATGATTACTAGGGTTCTCTCTACCATTAATTATTTAGTCTTCCTTTTCGGTTCTTTTTTATTGCCTGTTTCAGACTGGTTTAGTGAATAGAGATCAAAATTTGAAAATCAAGAAGCCCTGGGTTCAGATTCCTTATATATTTACTAGCTTTGTGACTTTTTTATTTTAACGGCAATTGGGGTTAAGTGACTTGCACAGGGTCACACAGTAAGTGTTATGTGTCTGAGGCTGGATTTGAACTCAAGTCCTCCTGCCTTGAGGGCAGGTGCTCTGTCCACTGCGCCACCTAGCTGCCCCTGTGACTTTTGGCAGTATAAATATGTTAGGTCCAATCCTGAAGACATTTTCTTTGGCTAAGTTCTAACCCTTTTTTGTGTCTTAGATCCCTTGAGCAATCTGATGATGTCTATGGACTCTCAGAATCATGTTTTAAAATATATAAAACAAAATACATAGAAAACCAATTGTATTTAAATAAAGATTTTTTTATACAAGTTGCTTATATATTATATGTTATAATTTACATTATTATATATCTTATATAGTAAACTGAGCCTTAGTTTACTCATTTGTTTGGATGACCAGATTAGATAACGGATACAGAATACTCTGTAACCTTTGAATTGACATATATAAATGGAAACTATTAATATTTTTCAGGGCCTTGAAGGTGAACTCAGCTTTATCATTTCATTTTGTGTTATATGTATATGAGTACATGACATATGTGCATAATTTAATTTTTTAAATTAAATTTTCATTATGAATTTATACAATAAACGTGAATATTTTACTACATAAAGAACAAAAAAGGAGATTATAATGAAATTTTGAACTCGTTAGGTATTTTTATTATTTTTGTGACTTAAATTTAGCATGGTAGTAGCAAAGCTGTACTGCTTGTTGATGTATTCATATGAACTTCCTTCTGTCATCTGCATATCTTAAAAATACTTAATTGATGCTTTCTTCTTTTTTTGTATCTCAGTCTCTGCCTACCAACTGCTTCCTCCCAATATAATCATTCCTCTTTAACAAATAAATATTGTTAAGCAAAGCAAATGGACATGCTGTCTAAAATTTTATGCTTCATTTTGTACCTCAGTGGAACAGGCTAGATACAGAAGAATCAGAAATAATTTAACTCACTGGGAAACTACTTATTATTTGACAAGAACTTCTGGAATAACTGGATAGTATTCTGGAAGACATGGATTTGGACCATCATAATATGCCATATTCCATAACAAATTCAAAATTGGTGTGTGGCCTGAATATTAATGATTATATCCCCCCCAAAATCAGAAAAGAAGCAGATCTTTTATTTTTCACAGGAATGGTTAATTGGTACCTTAGTAACCAAAGATGTGACAGGAGGCAGTTCTGGAAGGAAAAAATGTCATTCACATGAAATTGAAAGCTTCTAAATTATTTTCCTGTCTATTATTGTAGTCATATAATTTGTTGTCATGGTTTTGCTCATTTTACTCTCTGTTTCCTACGAGTCTTTGGAGTTGGCTCCAAATTTATCCTGTCATGGAGTATGAACAGTTGAGTTGCTTTTCTTGCATAATTTCAAATTAAAATTCACAATAGTTAGGCCATTTCATAGCTCTCTCATCAGTGGCCTGTCTTTCCATAGCTCTCCTAATACTGATTGAGCCCAGGTTGTTGTGAGGATTAAATGGAACAATATATGTTAAATATTTGTAGACTTTAAAGTGATATATAAATGCTAGCTATTATTATTATTCCCATGTTTAATTATCTTTTTTTTTTTTTTTTTATCGAGGCAATTGGGGTTAAGTGACTTGCCTAGGGTCACACAGCTAGTAAGTGTCAAGTGTCTGGTCTAAGACTGGATTTGAACTCAGGTCCTCCTGACATCAGGGCTGGTGCTGTATCCACTGCGCCACCTAGCTGCCCCATGTTTTCTTGTCTTTGCCAATTTATATGGTGTGGTTTTATTTATTTTTAGTAATTTAGACCATGTTTTATATGACCATTTGAGGTTTGTAATTCTTTTGAAAATATCTTGTTGGTCTCCTTAGACCATGTATCTGTTGTGGCATGGTTTTGGTATTAAACAATTGTGTCAGTTCTCTGTACATTTTAGAAATCGGAGTTTTATCAATAATATCACACAGTCTTTCGAAGATCACAGGAAGTAAGTAGCTCAACAATTTTAAAATCTTTCAGTAACTTTGGGCCTTGTGATTTGAACTTTTGAAAAGTAGCTTGGCATATCCTCATACTTCAGTCAGTAAATAAACATTTATTAAGCGCCTAATATGGGCCAGGCATGATTCTAAGCTCTGGGGTTATTAAAAAAAAAACCAGCTCCTGCCCTCAAGGAACTTACATTCTAATGGAAGAAAACAAACACACAAAAGGAAGTTGAAAAGTGTATGTGGGGGGATGTCAATTCCCTTTTACCCATTTTTGTTATGTATTTTCTTGTCTGGTCTCAAAGGTTTTTTTTAAAATATAGAAATAGATTTTATTTATTTCATTAAATATTTCCCAATTACATTTAAAAAATTTGATATTCATTTTTAATAATTTTGAATTCCAAATTCCCTACCTCCCCCTGCTTCCCTACCCTTTTAGAAGGCAAGCAATAGGATGTCAATTATAAAGATGGGGTCATGCAAAGCATTTCAATATTAGCCATGTTGCAAAAGACAATAACACACACAAACCAGAAAAATAAAGAAAGTGAAAAGAATATGCTTCATTCTATAGTTAGAACTCATCAGTTTTTTCTTTGGAGGTGGATAGCATCTTTTCATCATGCCTCCTTTGGAATTGCCTTGGATCACTTGATCATGTCTTGATCAGAGTAACTATGTCTTTCAAGGTTGATCATTGTTACAACATTGCTGTTACTGTATACAGTATTCTGGTTTTGCTCACTTCACTTTGCATCAGTTCATAGAAGACTTCCAAGGTTTTTCTGAAACCATAACCATCATTTCTTATAGCACAGTAGTGTTCCATCACAGTCCTATACCACAATATGTTCAGCCATTCCCCAGTTGATGGGCATCCCCTCAATTTCCAAATATTTGCCACCACAAAAAAAGCAGCTATAAATATTTTTGTACAAATAGTGTCCTATTCCCTTTGATCTCTTTAGGGTACGGACTTAGTAGTGGTATTGCTGGTTCAAAGTGTATACACAATTTTATAGTTCCAAATGGTTCTCAAGAATCGTCCAACCAGTTTGTAACTCCAACAGTGCATTAGTATCACAAAGTTTTCTCCTAAGATTTCAGCAGATTAATCTTTATGCATATCCTTTGAGAAATAGAGGGGAATGAAAATATTTTTCTTAATTTAATAAAGGGGTGATTGAACTATAGAGATCTTGGTTTGCCTACTCAGTATCATGCAGAATGTAGGGGGAATGTCTGTGAATTTGAGTCATGTCAACTAATTCTTTCCTGGAGCCCTGTCTATCCCTTGGAACTTACTAGAAGCAGTGGCTTAGAATCCAAGTCTTGGGCACTAATATCTGTGGCTCTTCCCTTTGATTGTAGGTAAAGGTAGATTTGTTCTTGGGTAGGTTTGCCTTCTTCCTCTGTAGAGGACCATGGAACTGATGCCCAGCTTAGGTGCTTACAGTTCTATCTTAGTGAGTTTAGGAAATGCAAGATAAAGTTGATCTTCTGCTTAACATATTTCTCTTTCCCCCAGTTTTAGCTTCTCAAGACTTTAATGAAAATGTGAGAAGGTGGTGAAGAGAATGGCCTCTGAATGCCTAACAACCTTGTCCCAGGTGAGTTATTTTGTTATTTCTCTTCTGAAATGCAGTCTCGTTCCTAAAAATATGGACATATTTCATTCACTTTTCTTCCTCCTTTCTTTAGACGAATCATATTCAGGGACTTCAACATCAATTGTTCTTTTTTAGAAGACTTAGACCCTCCTTATGTCTGATGTAGGTCTGATGTATTTTTTTTCAATCAACCAATATCTATTTTCTCTCTCCTACTTTGCTCTTTTCAATGCCCCCCTTCATTGGAGAAAAAGTAAAACAGAACTCTTGTAAGAAACATGCCAACAAGCAAAACAAAGAACTATTGTCCAGGTCCAACAATTTGTGTCTCATTTTGCATATTTAGTCCTTCACCTCTCTGTCAGGAGGTGGGTAGCATTTTTTATCACTAATCCTCTGGAATCGTGTTTTAAGTTGGAATGTATCTTAAGAATCATGTGGACAAATATGATATATGAGTTATCTGAGGTACAGAGAAGTGATGTGTCTCATTCAAACAAGCAGTAAACATTTATTAAGTACCTATTTTATACCAGGCATTGTGCTAAGTGCACAAAGAGAGGCAAAAGATGAAGTCCCTGGTCTCAATGAGCTCACAATCTGGTGTGTGTGTGGGGGGGATGACAGCATACAAATATGTGTGTATAAACAAGCTATATTACAGGATAAATAAGAGATAATTAAAAGGGAAGGTACTAGAATCGAGAGGGGTTGGGAAAGGTTTCCAGTACAAGGTAGAATCTGAGTGGGGACTTAAAGGAATCCAGAGAAGTCAGTAGTTAGAGCAAAGAGGGAAAGCATTGTAAGAAGGAGGGACAGCCAGAGAAAATGCCCAGAGCTGAGATGGCGTGTCTTGTCTGCAGAACAGTCAGGCGGCCACGGTCACTTCATCGTGGAATACGTATCAGGGAGTCAGGCATAAGAGGACTAGAAAGGGAGCAGGGGGCTGGGTTATGAAGGGCTTTGAAGACCAAACAGCATTTTGTATTAATTCCTGGAGGTGAAAGGAGCCACTGGAATTTATTGAGGGGAGGATGGGGGGAAGTGACATGATCAGATCTGCATTTTAGGGAAAGTACTTTACAAAATTGTTAGAAAACAAACCCACTCACAAAAGGCAATACCATTTTAATATAGTTACTACAAAATTCAGGAGGTAATAGTAAGAAGGGAAGTCCCATCCAAAATAACCACAAAATGCATAAACTATGTAGGAGTGAATATGCTGTAGCATACCCAATGCCTATCTATTTAGAGACACTACAAAGTGAGTCTTAAAGAAATGAAAAAAAATAATCAAGTAAAGGTCTCTGAGGGATTAGAAAAGAACCAGGGTATACTATAGAGTGAACCAGGAACACCACAAGGTGTGATTTTGTCTTACTTGGTTTTTCACCCAAAGTAATAAGAGGGCACCAAAAAAAATTTTACTTAACAGCACCAATACATCCCTGTGTATGTCTTTGGTGAAAGCTGTTTTTCACGTGAAATCAAATCTTTAGTTCTCAAATCTGGAAACATAACTTTCAAGTCTTTTATATCCCATCTTTTTGTGATGAAAGTATTAAAGTGTTGTCAGACTGCATAAAAATACATTCAAAATAAAACACAAAGATGAGCTCCGTGATGAAGACAACACAATATTGAAAGCATAGGGAGCATGCTTTTCTACAGTAACAACCTATCTTCATAGTCATGGAATTACTAAAAGGGGTAGTGAATATGATCTCTTCCTTTGTACAGTTAAAAAAAATGGTAATGAAAATTTTAGTAGATAGGACCAAGACAGCTGTCCCTGGTAAGCATCTTCCTGTAGATAAATTGAGACCGTAGAAGAGTCTTTGATTGGTGGAACAGAGGCATCTTTGTTTATCAGAGCTTTAATTATCAATATCACACTAGACATAAAGAGTGAGTCATATGTTAGTGAAAAGGATTTGCCTTGGCCTGGGCTGTAGTAGGTCGGATTGGTACCTCCGAATCAAGACTGGAATGAAATGAGACAAGTGTCCATCTAACTATTAACAAAACATTAAGCAATAGCTGGGAAAAGACACTAAAGACAGGACACTTGACTGTAGCTTCCTGGACTCTTTTACGCAGGATGGTCCAGTGGTCAAGCCTAAGGAAGCTGTTAGAACTCTTCATGGCTTTTTGTAATCAGGAAACTAGGAGGCCATCTCAGTAGCACAGGCCTTAGTCCATTCAGGGAATAAAGTCTCTAGGATGGTTTCAATAACTTTTGTTATTTTTGAAATTAAATTTTATTTTTAGCTCTCAGTGCTTTCCCACTTCAACTTCCTTTCCCACTTATTGAGAAGGCAGGAAAAATAAAATCAAATTAATACCTTCAAAAATTTTCACTTCCAAATTCTTTCCCTCCTCCACCCATTGAGGAGGCAAGAAATATGATTTTATATTGTGTATATGCCATCCATATTATCCATTATACTTATGCCATTCTATATGTTTCAAAGATCAGAACTAGTTCAGCCCACATAGTGGGGAGATACTAGTCATATGTCTTCTACCACATGATGGATGACACAGAGTTCAAACAAAAGGACTTTGGGTTACTCAAAATCACTTTTAGTGATTCCAGTTTCCTTCTCTTTGCCGTAGTACAAGTTGACTCCCATGCTTGGAATGCATTCCTTTCTCACCTCTGCCTCTTGGGGGCCCAGTTTGCAATGTCAGTTCTGGTTTCATTTCCTCCATGAAGCCATTCCTGATTACCCTTTAATTCTAGATCCTTATGTGTGTACTTCTGTCTCTCTCTCGACAGAATGTAAAGCCTTGTCTTAGTATCCCGTGTTCATATATCCCTACGTGGGAAATCATTTCAAAGGGCCATAAGATGAGAAGAGGGAGCACAGGCAGAGAGCCTCAATTTCCCCAGTAAAGCGAGCTAAAGTCTTCTGCTGGGATTGGGGGAGGGGGATATTGAGGCATGTTTAAAAGCTGCTGTGGCAAGTAGCATAAAAACTCTATGAGGACGATTAAAAGGATAACTGCAGTGAGAAGCCAGGCAAGCCACATCAATCTGTGGTTGACTCAGTCATCACTCTTTCAGTGAATGTATAGGAGCAGAGAAGTAAGAGTGTGAGTAAGTTGCTTCAAAATCTATTCTGTATTAATTTTGTATACTTTATATATGTATGTACCATTCGTACACATTGTTCTTCTTATTAGAATGTAAGCTCTCTGAGGGCAGGGACTTTTCCTTTTGTCTGATCTGCCCACCCCTTCCACTGTGCCATCTGGAACTCTCATTAGATAATTATCAAATTTTTCATTTAAAAACTCTTCTAGCTCCTTCCATCTTTTGGCACTCATTGAGACCGGGGTGACACTGTGCTGCTTCTGCTGCATTTAACACTGTTTATTACCATCTCCTCCAAAATACACTCTCTTCTTTGGATGTTCATGGCACTGCCCTCTCTTGGGTGTCCTGTTTATTTGTTTTCTCTTTCTTTGTGTCCTTTGCTGGATCTTCATCCATGTCACAGCCACTCAGTTTAGGTTTTCCACAAGACTCTGTCCTAGACCTTCATTTCTGTTCTCTCTGGACTTATTCACTTGGTGATCTTATCATCGATCATAGATTGAGTTGTTTATGCAGATGATTCCCAGATCTATATGTACAGCCATAGTCTTTCTTCTGAGGTCAATCTCACACCACCAGCTATCTATCACAAGTTTCTACAGGCTGTCCTAAAGGGATGTCAAACTCATCATGTCCAAAGCAGAATTCATCATCTTTCCTCTAAAACCCACCCCTCTTCCAAGTTTTCCTTTCAATTTCAAGAGTACCCTTAGGCTCCCATATTTGCAACATTATTTTCATTCTGGACTCCTCACTCACAGTCATTCTATACCATAAATCCGTTGTCAGATCTTGTTTCTTTCTCCACATGACCCATATGTGTTCTGTTCTTTCTACAAACAAAGCCACCACTGTAGTATATCTTGCTACTAAGAAAAAATATTTTAGTTATGCTACTCTGATCAGTAGGACTGCTGTTTATAATTTTGTTATTGGTAAAGAATAGGGAAAAATATATATGCATATATATATATATTATATATATAAAATGTGTTAAGTACACAGGATTTAAAGTGGGCCCCATTTGTATTTTTAAATCTTTTTGTGGCAAAGGCACACATGTTATATAATAACATAAAACAATAAAAAGCCAAATGAAATGCGGCTCAAGTAAATGCTTCTATGTGAAGCCTTTCTTGATTCCCCCAACTTCTAGTGCCCTCCCTCCCTAATTATCTTGTATTTAAATACTTTGTATTTATTTTATGTTTACATGTATACTTATCTTCTCTGTTAGAATGAAAGTTCCTTGAGAGTAGGCATTGGTTCATTCTTTAGAGTTGTATGCCCAGCACTTAGTAGAGTTCCTGCCACATAGTAGGCATTTATTACATGCTTGTTGATTGATTTTGTAAAAAGCAGTTTGCACCAAGAATTCCAACACAAGGAAGGAGCTGACTTCATAGGTATCACTGAGACTTGGTGGGATAAGACCTATAATTGTCATACGGCTGTAATAAAGGCTTTACCTTATGCAAATGGTGCAGAAGTCTAAGAGAAGTGGGTAGCATTTTATATTTATAAGATATACTTAGGGGCAGCTAGGTGGTGCAGTAGATAGAGCACCAGCACTGATGTCAGGAGGACCTGAGTTCAAATCCAGCCTCAGACCAAACACTTGACACTTACTAGCTGTGTGACCCTAGGCAAGTCACTTAACCCCAATTGCCTCGCTAAAAAAAAAAAAAAAAAAAAAAAAAAAAAAAAGATATATTTACATGAAGAATTCCAGGAAGCCAAGGAGAAGCTTGGATAGAACAGATGAGTAAAAACAAATGGAGAAAAAAAACAAACTTAAAATGATCAGGAAAATGCACTCCAGATCACCTGTATGGAAAGAGAAACTGCATCAGGAATTAGACCACTCACAAGCCTGGAACAGAGATATGGTGTGGTGGTGATGGGGCATTTCAATTGCCATTTTTAAAAATGGAGGAGCCTATAGTTTTCAAGCTCTGTTCTTTCTTTTTCATAATTTAGATTTAGAACTAGAAGGGACCTTGGAGGACATTGAGTATATCCCATCTTTTTACAGATAAAGATGCTGAAGCCTGGCGAAATTTAAGTGATTTATCCAGGGTCACACAGCTTGTAAGTGAAGGATTTGAGCCCAGTCTTCTCGACTCCAAATCCAACACTTTATCTACCACACCTGCACCTTTGTCTCTCAGCTCTCCCCTTAGAATTTGGTGGGAGTAGAGGGAGAGAATAAGCATCTATAACCCTTTCCTTTAATTCTTGGAAAAAGTGACTTTGAATTCTCCTTTCTATCAAGAACTAAGGAGCTCATAATAAGATTTTGAGTGAACAGTTCTTTCCCAATCAGCTTCATAGCTGGAAGGCAGAATTGGTTTTCAGCTTCACTTCTTTCTTCCCCCTCAGTTCTAGCTGTGTACTGATCAAGTACAGAAACAAGCAGAAGCTGTGTGGCTCTGACCCTGGGAGTTGTGTGGGGTCTTAGATACAGCCTTTACTCCCGTCTGAGGCCCACAGAGTAATAATGAGGCGAAGCCCAGACTAAGAGGAGGCTCACTGCAAGTGCATCACTGAGCCTGCAGAGTCTCCAGCTGGCTAACAGGAGCTGAGTCCAGCAGCAGTCACAGAGTAATAACGAGGCGAAGCCCAGACTAAGAGGAGGCTCACTGCAAGTGCATCACTGAGCCTGCAGAGTCTCCGGCTGGCTAACAGGAGCTGAGTCCAGCAGCAGTCTACTGGAGCTCTGACTAAAGGGAAGACCACATTTGTGTTGCTCAAACCCAGACCAAGGTCATGAATTTATAGTCCTCAGACTAGGAAGTTAATGCTCAGAATTTGCCCTGAATGAAACTGCTTTGAATGGATTGAAAGCTTGCAAGTGTCTGGCCTGAGCTGTCCCTGAGATTCTGAATAACATGACACTTACTTCCTTGAGAAAGCAGTATAGCAGGATGCCAAAGAACACAAGCAGGGTCCAGCTCTTCTCTCTCCAAGTGTGCTGAGCTGGCCTTAACATAAAGTCCAAGATCAGGAAGAATAAGATCCATTCCTTAATTGATAAATGGTCAAAGGATATGAAGAAATCCAAGTTATCAATAGCCGTATTAAAAATGCTCTAAGTCATTATAAATTATAGTAGTGCAAAAAGCAAGTGTTATGTGAGGTCCACCTCACAGACCTCACATAAGTTGGCAAAGTTAATAGGAAAGGAGAAAGTAAAATATTGTCAAGACTGTAGGAAAACAGGCATTGTTGGTAAAGCTGCAAATTGGTCCAACCATTCTGCAAAGCAATTTGGAGCTATGTCTAAAAATTTAGTTATTAAACTACGTATGTCCTTTGGAAAAAATGATGCTTCTCTAAGCAAATAATTTAAGGAGATCAAAGAAAGGAAAATGATCTATAAATAAAAAATATCTCTAGTAGCTCCTTTTGTAAAGACAAAGAACAGGATGCTGACAGTACCCATGAATTGGGGGATGGCTGAGCAGATTATTCCATATAAACGCAGTGGAACACGATTATTCTATAAGAAATGATGAAAGGGATGATTTCAGAGAAATGTGAAAATACTTATGAACTCATGAAAAGGGAAGTGAGCAGAACCAGGTGAACAATTTGTACACCAACAACAGTATTGTAAAGACAACTTTGAAAGATTTAAAAACTGATGAATTATAATAACCAACGAAAATTCCTTAAGAATAATGACGAAGAATACTACCCACCTCTTAATGGAAAGATGATGTACTCCAAACTCAGGATGAGATACATATTTCTATGTGGCTACTGTGGGAATTTATTTTCCCCCTTAATAGTAAAAGAGGTGGTGATATTTAATAAATGCTTGTTATTTTACTTGGGGCCTTATTGTGCAGAATGATTTGTAAGGTTGAATTTGATTAAAATTATTTACATAGCCTAGTATAAAGTGGAGAACATGGTAAGAAAATTCTCAAAAAATACTTGAGGGGGCAGCTGAGTGGTGCAGTGGATAGAGCACTGGCCCTGGAGTCAGGAGGACCTGAGTTCAAATGCCACATCAGACACTTAGTGGCTAGCTGTGTGACCCTGGGCAAGTCACTTAATCCCTATTGCCTCAAAAAAATAAAGAAATATTTGAAATGGAATATTCCAATTCCTTGATTCTATGAGAACTCCTCACTTTGGTTCAACCAAACCAATTGGTTCAAACCGATTTCATGTCTTCCTCATGTTTCATATGAAGAATGGTCCTTGAATGCATGGGAATGTTTCTGACTATTTCAGAAATTGTTAACACTGCAAGATGTGCTTGTAGCCTTTATCCAAGAGGAATGGTACCTGTTGGATCCTGCTGAGAAGGACCTTTTCTGGAATGTGATGCTTGAAAACTATCAGAACTTTGTCTCCCTTGGTAAGGATAACTTTTCTCTCATGAATCGTCTGACCATTAGAAGGATGTTACATTCTCATTTCATAAAGGTCATGGAACGTCTCAAGTGATTTGCTGAGTTCTGACTTGGTGTTTGGAGCTTTCTCAAGAGTACATGTAATATAGAAAACCCCCTGTCTCCTTTGGTGCAAAGAAGTGAGATGTTCTTGCTTCCTCTGCAGAGGAAAGGCCTTGGCTTTTTACAACTGGAAATCAGCATCTTTACTATGCTGCTTCTGAAGCTATACTTTGCCTACTTTGTGCTCAGAAAAGACAAAAACTTCTCCACTCAAGTCCCTATTCCAATAGCTCTTTGGAGACATGGAAGATTTCTATATATAGTCTTTGTAGGGAATGTGCAGAAATAAACTAATTGTGTTTGAACCTAAGTCAGACCTGTCAGTTATCTTCCACATTTGATGTGATTGAACCATAATATATAGCATCCTTACGAGGTTCTTTCTAGACTGCTCTCTATTTTCCTAAGGAAAAAAGAGATTAAGATTGAATTCTTAAATATCCCTCTGTTCTTAGCATCTTTCCAAATGTTTCCTGATGAGCAAGGACTTCCAGATTCCATACCACTTCTGATTTCTCAGTTGGAGAGAAGAGAAGCCCTGTGGCTACCAATGGAAGCAGTCCTGAAAAGCATTTATGTGGGTGAGTGAATTAAAACCAGGCAGATGGTTATAGATGATTGCAGGCAGTACCACCGCTAGTCAGTAAGGATGCATTCCCTTTGGAATGTTAGAGTGGACCTGATTGTAAAAGACCCCCAAGGCTCTGGAGAAGGATTGTGGTTGTCCCTCTTTAAGTACTTCCTCATTTTATATTCTCCTGATCTTTTTGTCCTCATATTTCCCTACAGCCTCAGAAAAAGAGGTATTACTTTTTTTTTTTCAACGCTAAATCTTCCACGTATACTTGGGTTCCTGTCTGTTGTCGCTCTTTCCCATAATTTTTTCTCACATGGTTAGAGTCTGTTCTTCAGAGTTTCCATTGGCTCACAAACAGATGTTTGTTAAAAGAACGAAGCCTTTGTTTTTCCTGTTGTCTTTCTTTCTATATCCCAGTTCATTTCCTTTCATTGCCATTTGTCTCTTCACATCACAAACAGGATCTTTTTACCCTTTCTCTGTAATCTGTCCCCTTTTCTTCTTCATATGCTATGTAATTGACTTCTTTTCCTATTGCTTCTTGGAAAATAACTAAGATTCTCCACATCCTGCCATGATAAGATCTATGGCTTATTTACAGACAGTATTTTATGGTTTATAAAGAGCTTTTCCAAACAGGGAGGTGGTTAGTAAGTATATTAATATCTCCACTTTATAGAAGAGACTGATTGAGAAGCCGTGATATTTTGACTTGCCAATGGTCACTTGATTGTTGGTAATGGTCACCATATTCTAGGTTTTCATGTCTCATACCCATCATTTTTTCTCTTTAAATTATCCCCGAGGCACCTCAGGATCATCCAATCTGCAAAAAAAACCACTGAGGCAGAGCTCCGAGCCAATGGCATTTTATTAAAGCATCGATGGCCCCCTCTAATGAAGTGGACTCAGATCTTCCTCACAATCTAAGATGTCCCCTTCCTCCAGAGCCTTAGTTTTATAGTGCTTGATACCCAGACAATACAGGTGGAACAGACTAAAAATGCAGTCTTGTTGGTGAATAGACCTTTCCCTTGACCCTCTAGAAGGGTCTGCACAAAGTACGCAATCCCATTGGTTGTCAAATGGGCTAGTGAGCAGACATTAACAGACCTATCTTGACCTTTCAGGAGGTCCTGCCAAGCCCATGAGCACACCCTGGACTGGGCTGATAAACAGATGTTGGAGCATCTGCATAGGCTGATGGCTGGTAGTAGGGCAGGTCTGCAGTCAGCATCACTCATTAGCCAAGTGCTCATGGCCATCTCCCTATGTTGGGCAATAGAAGGATGACAAGGGATAGAGAAGGGCAACAAAAATAGCTGAGGGGCTTTCCATATAATTGAGTTACCTCCTGCCACGCTAGACTTGGTCACCATAACAAGGGAAATACAAGGGTGTCCGTCCTCTAGTTAGCTTCCTGTGATTAAGTAAGTGAACTTAAAATCTTCAGTTCACAGTTCTGAGGTAATTGGGGTTAAGTGACTTGCCCAGGGTCACATAACTAGTGTCAAGTGTCAGAGGCCAGATTTTAACACGTGTATTCCTGACTCCAGGGCCAGTGCTTTATGCACTGTACCACCTTGTTGCCCCCTAATTATACATTTATTAAAAACATGAAAAGATACAAGAACAATAATATGAAGTGATAATAGCATTTATTTAGAGTTTTCAGGTTTGTAAAGTGCTTTGCAAATATTATCTGATTTTTATCTTCACAAAAACCCTAGGATCTAGGTACTAGTTTTATGCCTATTTTACAGATGACTCAAAATTCTTTTTCAGTACTGTTTTTCCAGTGACTACAAACTTGCTGGACTATTGTGCAATCCAATGTATATTTCTTTAGAAAGATAGCTTGTAAGATTTTGTCAAATAGATTGCTAATATAGTCCCCTATTCGCTATATCCATCATGCACCTCTTCATACATCTTAAAGGAAATGAGCCTCATTGTGTATTATCTGTACTTATTAAATTGATGTTGCTTTTTAGGGATTAATGCTTTTCTATAAGTAAGTAATTTTTTCCCCAGAGATTTTTTACTTTACTTTAAGAAATCTATTTGTTTAGAAATAACCTCTTTCCAAATTCTTATAAGCCATTCACGAAGTCCTCACAAATTAGGTGTTCTATTACTATCTTCTTACCCACCTGGGCTTCATTTCCTTTCTATGAGTGTTCTTCTACCTGTACCAGATTAATGTTCATTCTTCTTCATGAATGTGATAGATCTTATTATTATTTTATCATTGAACATTGAATAATAGCACCTTTTACCTTCTCCCCCCCGCCCAGATTTTCTTCCTGAACATGATACATTTGGACTGAAATGCAGTCTGGGATCAATCCTCACTACACAACAGAAAATTCCTGAAAAAAAAATGTGTCCATGAATATGATGACCTTGGGAAGAGCTTCAATCTGTTTTCAGACCTAAGTGAACATAATAGAATCTGCTTAGGAGAGAAACTATCTCAACACAAGAAATTCAAGAAGCCCTTCATTCACCACTCAAAACATATGTATTCCCATAGGACATATCCTCAAGGAAAACTCTCTAAACATGATGAAGTTGGCAAAGACTTCAGCATCAAATCACAGGTTCCTGAACCTCAAAGTATTTATAGTGGTGAGGAGAAAATTTTTGAATGTAATAAACATGGGAAAGCTGACCACAGTAAACAATACTTAACTGCATATCAAACAACTCATGCTGGAGAGAAGCCCCATAAATGCAAAGAATGTGAAAAAATCTTTAGTTCCTGGATAAACCTTTTTCTACATAAGAAAATTCATAGTGGAGAGAAATCCCTATGTAATGAATGTGGCAAAGCCTTTAAGCATAAACGACACCTTAAAATCCATAAGATGATTCATACTAGACAGAAGCTTAATGAATGTAATATGTATTTGAAAGCCTTCAGTAATAAATACTACTTAGACCAATATAAAAAAATCCATACTAGCAATATACCCTCTAAACAGGAATCACACTTTATTAAACATAAGTTAATTCATACTAAAGAAAGACCAATTGGTTGTAATGAATGTGGGAAAGCTTTCAGAAGTAAATATTACCTAATTCAACATAAAGAAAATCATTCTGGAGTGAAACCTTTCAAATGTAATGAATGTGGGAAGGCCTTCAGCAGTAAGAACTACCTAATTCAACATAAAAACATTCATGCTGGAGGGAAACCCTTCAAATGTAATGAATGTGGGAAGTCTTTCAGCAGTAATAGCTACCTAATTCGACATAAAAAAATTCATACTGGAGTAAAACCCTTCCAATGTAAAGAATGTGGGCAAGGCTTTATGAGTAATAGCTATCTAATTCAGCATCAGAGAATTCATACAGGTGAGAAACTGTATAAATGTAATGAATCTGGGAAAACTTTCATTAGTAATATACAACTGTCACAACATAAAAGACTCCATACTGGAGAGAAGCTTCATAGATGTAATGAATGTGGAAAAGCCTTTAGGCAGATGGCACATTTTGAAACACATAAAAAGATTCATACAGGTGAGAAGCCTTATGAATGTAATGAATGTGGGAAAGCCTTCATCAATAATCAGCAGCTATCTGGACATCAAAGAATTCATAATGGAGGGAAGCCCTATAAATGTAATGGCTGTGGAGAAGCCTTTAGTAGTAATAGCTACTTAACTCTATATCTAAGAATTCATCCTAGAGGGACACCCTATAAATGTAACAAATGTGGCAAAGTCTTCTACAGTAATAATAATAACCTAATTCAGGATCAAAAAATCCATCCTGGAGAAAACCCCTATAAATGTAATGAATGTGGAAAAGTGTTCAGTAGTAACAGCTATTTAACTGTACATCAAAGAATTCATACTGAGAGAAACCCTATAAATGTAAGGAATGTGGTAAAGCTTTCAGGCAAAGTTCATCACTTCTGCAACATCAGAAAATTCATACTGGAGAGAAACCCTATAATTGTAATGAATGTGGGAAAGCTTTTAGTTGAAGTTCATCCCTTATGCAACATCAGGTAATTCATACTGGAGAGAAACCCTACAAATGTAAGGAGTGTGGGAAAGCATTCATCAATAACAAATATTTGTCGAGACATCAAAGAACTCATACTGGAGAAAAACCCTATAAATGTAATAAATGTGGGAAAGCCTTCAGCAGTAATCAAAGGCTCTCAGGACATCAATGACTCCATAATGGAGAAAAACTCTAAATGTAATGAATGTGGGAAAGCCTTTTGCACCAGTTCTAGATTTGAAGCACATAAGGCAATTCATTCTGGAGAAAGACTTGTTTAAATATAATGAATGCAGGAGAGGCTTTAGGTTTGATCAAGACTCATATAGTATGAATGTGAAGCCATACTGGCAAGAAATCTTAGGAAATAAAATGAGTGTGTGAAAGCCTTCTGCATAAAGGGAAACCCTAATACACATAAGCAAACTCAAGGCTCATGAGAAACATTTTAAGTGCAATGAGTGTAGAAAACCTGATTGAAATCTTAAAGAACATGATTCAGTGCTCCCAAGCATGCATTGAACTCATGAAATGTTGTAAAGGCTTCACATAGGCAAGAGTATACATCAAATTTTCATACTGAAAATAAGTTTTTGGGTAATGAATATGGGCAGACTTTTAAATGAAAGGGCCATAAGATGCTTCATACTAAAAAGAGGAACCTGTTAAATATAATGAATGTTTGAAAGCATTCAAGCTGAATCAGACTTGTGTGCATAAATAAGAAAATTATTATCATAGAGAATTTAAAAATCTTTTTTTCCAGAGAGCTTCAGCTAGAGAAAAGAATTTACAAACTTTCTGATAGTACTGATGAGATTCTTTATGAATAAAATTCACAGTTCCTGAAAGAATTCATACTAAAGATTAACTCTGCATTTATTACGTTGGAGTAATGGTTTGGAAAAGTTACACAAAATCACAAAGTTCTGGAGTCAGAGAAGACCTCAGAGAACATCTCATCCACATTTTATCTGAACAAGACTGCCCCGTACACCATGTGAATCCTCACCCAGCCTTTGTTCTTTAATGAGGAGGAGCCCTCTGGGCTCCTGAAGGAGTGTGCCCCGCTTTTGGGTAGTGCCTGCTGTTAGGAAGTTTTTCCTTATATCAAGCCTAAAGTCACCTCTTTGCAATTTCCCTCCCTTTCTCCTGCTTATACTCTGCGTGGCCCACGAGAACAAGCCAAATCCTGCTTGCTGTGAGAATCCATCATATGCTTGAAGTCAACCGTGATAGATAGCCTGTTTTCAATTCTTCAGGTAAAATACCCTCAGTTGATCCTCCTATAACATGAACTAACACACCATTCACCAGTATGGTTGCTTTCCTCCAGAGTACTTAAGCTTATCTTTCCTAAAATATGGTATGCAAATCTGATGACAAAATTCTAAATCTATTCTAGCTGAGATGCACATTCACAAGACTGTCACTCATGGTCTTATTCCTCTCCTAACATAGCCTAAGACTGAATTTGCTATTTTGGCTGCCCTTTCACTCTTTGACTCCTTAATGAGCCTGTTATCCACCAGAATTCCAGATCTTTTTCTTATGCTCTTCTAGCCATCCCTCTACCTTTTATGTGTGTAGTTGATATTTTGAACTCAACTGTAAAATTTTCCACTTTTTTATTTCATCGTATTCAGTTTGGCCCAATGTTGTTGGAAATCAAGATCTTTTGGAATCTTGGCTGTTATTAGCTGCCCCTGGCACATTTGTATCAACTGCACATCAGATAACCATGGCACATACACCCTTAGCTAAGCTGTTAATTGAAATATTAAACAGATCAGGGCCTAGCACAAATCCCAGGAACATTGCACCAAAAATTTCCTTCCAAAATAACATAATAATAATAATAACTGCCATTTATATAGTGTCTGTTATATTTCAGATGCTCTACTAAGCCCTTTACCAGGAGTATCTCATTCAGTCCTCATAAACCCTCCCCCCCCAGGTACATGCTATTATTACCCTCATTTTACAGGTGAGGAAACTAAGGCAAAGAGGTTTAGAGACTTGCCTAAGATCACACAGTAAATATCTGAGATTTGAACTTAGGTCTTCCTTGACTTCTTGGCCAGTTTTGTATCTGCTGCACCACTTAGCTGCCCTCAACTTATACCCACTGACATAAAGTAAAATAATAATTTATTCAACATAGGAGACAAGGTGTCAGATTTTGTCACCAGTTACAAGTGTTAGTTGCCTTGAGAGAGAAGAATGGCTAAGTTCTCCTTATGTCCATCTTTCTATAAATACTCAGGTTAGAGTATTCTAGGTCCTAGAGGAGATTAAATGAAACATGGTTTGTGACTGCACATAGCTCACAGGATCCAGAGAGGAGACAGGAGACATGACACATACATACCTGAAATACAAAATATTATGAGATGCAAGTTGCCTGAGAAGAGAACCCAAGGATGTTATTTCCTGAGTTCCAACTTTTTGTGTAAAGGAGAGGGGAATTTGACTTCCTTAGAGAGTATAATCCCATAATCAAACCTCCCAGCCTCTAAGGGAGATTTCTAGTATGGCATTCACTTTGGGAGATGCCATGTCATCGACGCCAAGTTTCAGAGTTCCTGAGTTTGACAATTCCAGGCATTGGGTCTTCTAGAGCAGTTCTGTCAAACTCATGTAGAAATGGGGCCACTCAGCAGTAAACAAGGACCTGTTCTTGCTGCACATTAACTTAAAAAAACCACATGAACATTATGTTCTTTTGTATTTTCATTTATTTTGTTAAATATTTCCCAATTACAGCTTAATCTTGTTTGGGCAACACTCTGTTATGGTGTGTTTGATACCTCTATTCTAAAGAGAGTTTTAATGCATCCTACTCTTGGTTGAAGGGGAAAAAATGTCCTCGGTGGTTCCTGTGCAGCATCCTTCTCTATTTGGAGTGCAAAGTTGCACTCTAGAAGTCAGAAGAAGTGGCGTCTACAGCCAGGCAGTGTGCAGCTACTATGAGCCTTTCTAATTTTGACCTTATACTGCAGAATACTTGCCTTCCTGATGCCACCTGTAATTGTGGAAAAGTGTACCGAAGGAAGGATGGCTTGTTGGTCCTTTCCTTACCATGCTATTTTAGCAAAGAGCTTTTGTTCCTTGACTGGCAATTGAAAGGTAAACACATTGGTTGGGGCTTGTGAGCTATAGTTTTAGGCGTTCAGGGTTCTATAGGGTACCTAGACCCTGGGGCTACTGACCTCAAGTGCACGTTGGGAACACCTACAGGTGCATTCTCTCCCAGCTCTAAATCTGTGACGCCATATTACATAAATGGGAGATGCATGTCTGCTGCAGTGGTTTGTGTTTTGTTCTCATCCTGGCCCTGTTCTGCCTTTCCTGCTTCATTCTGTGGTGGATCCATCCTGACCCGCTTACTGTTCCTTAGACACAACCTTCCACTTCCCCTCTCTGCCTTTGCACTGACCATTCTCCTTACCTGGAACATTCTCCCTCCTGGCTTCTTAGACTCCTTTTAAGCCTGGGCTCAGATGTCACCTTCTCAGGAACTCAGCTTCTGGTGCCTCTCTCCAAAATTACCTTCTGTAAACTCCCTGTTTGTCTTGTGGCCACCCTTATATGTACATGTATTCTTTATTAAAATGTAAGCTCCTTGAAAGCAAAGATTGTTTTTTGTATTTTCTTTGTATCCCAAGGACTCAACACAACGTTTGGCACATAGCCATGCTTGCTGATTCCTTCACTGATTGTTGTCCAAGTGGAGGAGGATCATCGTTTGGTGGGGAGATCAGGGAAGGAATCCAAAGAGGAGTTTACATTTGTGCCGGGCCCTGATGTTTTTTTATGCTGTTTTTAAAGAGGACAAGTGACATCACAGTTGACGCTTGACTTGTGCATGAATTGGATTTAAATGAGGTGTTGTTTCACAAGATGCCAGCCTCACTCTGTTCCCGAGTCATCAGAGTCCAGCGGCGAGACTGGAGTCCAGATGACCGGCGACAGCTCCTAATGTGGCGGATTGTCTTCACGGCGTCAGTGTCTGACCAGGCCGTAAGAGTTCCACAGCGCCAGCTTCAGCCTCTTTCATGGCCATCGGAACAAGTTCTTCTTGTTCACCCATTCCACCAGGGAAAGTCTTCACACGCGTGGTAGAAACACGCCCAACTCACCAACGGGTTTGAGGCCTGTCCATTACCCCCAACCTGGGTTAGCCCATCTGCCTGCATGGTTTCCTGGATGTGGCCACTGTGAGTCCTACAGCTTCTTAGAGCCACCGGTGAGAGTTGGGTGAATCAGGTGGACACCGAAGGTGGATGAGCAGCCCTAAAAAGGGTTGGATAGGCCCTCACCCCACACGTGCTAGTCCTCCCGGACACCCCACATTCCCCACCGTAAAGAATAGGGAAAGGGGGAAGGGGGCAAACACTAAGCACTTACTATGTGCTTTACATATATTATCTCATTTGATCCTCACTGTAACACTGGGAGTTAAGTGATATTATTATCCTTATCTTACAAGTGAGGAAATTAGGGCAGGTAGAGGTTAAGTGATTTACTTAGAGTCACAGAGCTAGTAAGGGTCCAAGGTAGGATTTTAACTCAGATCTTCCTCATCCCAGGACCAGCATTTTATCCACTGCATCACTACTTGCCTCTAGCAGGATAAGTAGGGTATTTGTGTAGAGATACTAATGGGAAAGGCATTACAGATCTATGGAGCAATTTGAACAAAGTCACAGGGGCAGGGCAATATTAGTATTTTTTTTAGCAGAGATTATAACAAATTTGGCTGGAATGTAGCGCATGTTTAGACAAAGCATATGTACAGGAATGTACTACGTACCATTGGTGGAGCTGTGAATTGGTCTAGCCATTCTGGAAAGACATTTTGATTTATGCCTAAAAAGTTACTAAAATGTGTATACCTTTTATCCCAGCTATACCACTATTAGGCCTATACCCCTGCTAGGCCTATACCCCAAAAAAGATCAAAGAGAAAGAAAAAGGTTCTACATGTATAAAAATATTTCTACCAGCTCTTTTCATGGTAGCCAACAAGCAGAGACTAAGAGAATGTTCTCCTACTGGGGAATGGCTAAACAAACTGGTGTGTGAATGTAATGGAATAATTGTGCCATAAGAAAAGAGGAAATGGACAGTTTCAGAAGAACCTGGGAAGACTTCTTTGAACTGATACAGAATAAAATGGGCAGAACAGTTTATACAATGATAACCTTATAGAGAAAAACATCTCTGACTTTAGAACTCTGATTGATGCAGTGATTAACCAAGAGTCATAGATGAAACATGTGATTCACTTCTTGATAGAGAGGCATGAACTTAAATGGTAGGAAGAGACATACTATTTTTGACATGGCAATGTGTGTGGGGTTTTTTTCTGCGTGATGCAGTTATATATTGAGGACTTTTTAAAGATTTTACAGTTTTTCCAGTTCTTGGTCTCTCCCCTGTGTATTTTTAGGGTATGTGTATTACTTAACTATGAACATGTTGTAAAATCATAATAGGTGCTTAGTTGAGGGAGGGGAAATGGGAGGAATAATTTCATTTTAAAAGAAAAAAAACAAAGAATATCTATGCTATGATACACCACATTTATTTCAATGTAATTTACTACTTTGCACTGGTGTTGCTCTGAATTAAAACTCAAGCACTAAAACACATGGCCAAAGAAGAATGGTGAAAATACATTGCTGCTAATTTTTTTTTTCAATGCCTTGTTTTATTGAGGTAGGACTGCTATTGATATTACTGTTTTGGGGAACAAATGGGGAAAATTTATTTGAAAATAGTGTGTAAAGTGTGCAGGACTTAAAGTAGATACCATTTTTATTTTTAAACCACTGTATTGCTGAGTCACATATGCTATGTAATAAAATAGACTTTAAGCAAGTAGAGGACTACACTTGATAATTCTTCAGTTAGCCAGGCTGATTACCTGTGACCAACACTCCTCTCCTCCCCCACCCCATACTCTGTTTCATCCAGACTTGGCTATTGGCTGCTCTATGACATTTCATTTCCTTTTTTTTAATGGTGTCACATAGACTGGGTGCCATACTTGGAATACTTACTTCCCGATTTCTCCCTCTTGGAGTCCTAGTTTTCTTCAAAACTCAAAATATGCCACCGCCTTCAACAAATACTTCATAATTTTTCCAGTTCTTGGTCTCTCCCCTCCTATCACTGTGTATTTTGGGTGTATATGTATTACTTATCTGTTAACATGTTATATGATCATAGCAGGTACTTAATAAATGTTTGTTGAATGATAAATTAATAGAATTTAAGTTGCTTCAAAACAAGGAGTATCTTACTCTGTATTTGTATCCCAAGCACCTAACTCAGTGCAGGTCACATATTAGGTGCATAATAAATGAACATAACAAATCAACTGTGTAGACCTTATATTTACATTTTGTGTAGCATTTTACCACACTAGTTAGCCAGAAGAGTCAACCAGAAGAGTCAGCCAAAAGAGCTACCAAAACAAAGATCAATGACTGGAATTTTCTTTAAGGAAGTATTTAGATTAAAGAGAATTTTCCTCTAATTTGCATAATGATTGCTAAACTTCTATTCTTGGTGTTGTTTTTCTAGTATCATATTACACCAGGATATCTACAGAATGAAAGTTGATCTGCAACTTAGCAGAGAATGTGAAAAGTCTTGAAGAAAATATATCTATCTCCAAGTTATGAGGTTGAATAAAATGTTCTTTCAAAGAATGGAAGATATAATTTTAGAAAGAAATAAAAGATAAAAAGGATATAATGCAACCAAACAGAATACTTAGTTTGGAAGATAGAAGAAAATGACATAGAGTAGAAATATGACAGAGCGGGAAAGAAAACCACATAATTAGAGCCATATAATAGGTATGAGACTGTTCTTGAAGAAGGACAAGTCTAACCTTCTTTGGAATAAACAGCATCTTGTGCTCCATGGACTGACAACCTGG